TTAGAGTATGAACTAGAGATAACACTCCAAGTGTAGCAAAAATTTCAGTTGCAAGTAACGAAGGAAGAATGCTGGGGCTTATAGTAGACAGTAACCAAGTTGCAAACGAACTATCTTGCTCGACATATCGAAGATAGGCAAGATTGATGATACATTTTTTAAAGATTATTATGCTCATTATGTGAAAGAAAATTGATTTGGGGGTGTGGGGGAGGGCACTGTTCATGATGGTACACGGCTTAAATCTAAAAACCGAGATTTAAATACTAATTTATTATCAAGATAACGGTTGTTGTATAATATTAATAATGTCATCCGAAATCGTTATTACATGATTATAATATTCGCTTGCATACATAATCACATAAACAACTATGATTTAAATTAATATAAGAAAAAGAAACACTGTATTTAGATTATGCTTACGATTTGCTATCCAATACGCACAACAAAACTTGTGATCATATTCATGAGGCGACTCCACCCCCACCCCCACCCAAACCGAAATCCGAAACCCGAACAATGGACGGAGTCAACCCACATTTTAATTCATATTTTCAAAAGAATTAATAATTATTCAGGTCACCAACCTACCACTAACCGCCAGCTCACGTCCCAACTCTTCTCCGCCCTATATTAAATTTTATGGGTTTCGCACCACTATTATGCAATTTCTTATACAAGAACAAGATTAATAATCCTAATCTATAAACAGACTTCAAAGGTAACTAATAATATTGAGGATGGAAAACTAAAGCATATATTTTCAATCCACAATTTATGAGATTATTTTTGTTATAATAAGTATAAATTAAATGATTTAAACATTTATTTCAAAATTATATTAAATAACTATATTTATTTACAAAATAATAAATAAATTTTAAACAAAAATACATTAGAGACTCTATACATTTTTAAAAATAATGTGACCATTTATTATATTTTATTTTAATGTGGTTTTCAACTTAGAAAATAACTTCAATGTGGTCATTTAATCAATGTTTTTTATCGTTGACTATTACAATATGATGTGACAGTTTACGGTGCTGATATAACAATTTAGGGTGACAAATTAATGTGAAGGATGATTTAGAAGACTGACTAAATTGGTAATTCAAACATGAAAGATAGATTATCACGTCAACATCGTGGATATTCACGTCAATACTATAAATTAACACGTCAACCTTAAAACGGTCAACGATAAAAAATATTGATAAAAAAATTACATTATAATAGTCACATTATTTTTTTTTCTCGACAAAATTACAAGAACATGATGTATTTTTGCCTGTAGGTGGTAAATATATGTAAATCTGAAAATAGAGAGGGGATGGATGTTCAAAAATACATTACGTGTTTAACCCTTAATTCAGCACATTCCTTTCAACATCCGCAGAGGCAGAGGGAAAGAGGGAGAGGCTCCGGAGATCGTCGATTTTTTTGGATTGGTTTAATCTTGGGCTTCCACCTTCACCTCTCGGATCCACAACCCGCTTCAAAGGTTCTTTCTTTTCCATTTTCTTTGTTTGTTGGCTACTTCTGCAATGTTTCAGCTTTTTTTGATTCATTTTTCTCAGCATTTAGATTCTTTACATTACCCGTGTTTTGTTTTCCTTGAAAATGTGTTTTGTTCTAATGTTGCTTACAAAAGAATAAAGCAATGCCACAAAAACTTTTTTTTTCATTGAATTTAAGCCATATTGTTGATTTAGTTAAATCCGATCAATATTGGAATATAACCGTTGCATACCGGAAGGGAAAGTTACCCAGAAAATATTAAAGTTATCTTTATTCTTTTTATTAGAAGTTTTCGTATCTAAATGCAATTTGAGTTGTTATTCAGCCATGTAATTACTTTAAGTGATTGAACTTTTCCCTTTCTTTTTTCTTTTTGTGAATTTAGTGAACGTTTTATGAATCTTACGCCTTAGCCACAAGCCAAAAGCTAGATCTTATTATATATAATATATCTCTACTTTTTGTGCTGTTTTAAGATATTCACAGAAACATGCTTCAGTGAAGAAATTTCTGATAAGTTATATGCGTGTAATGTATAACCTTTTGTATGCAATTCAAGGTTTGGTGTTCTGTCAGGGAGTGCATGAATCAAGGGAACTTTATATAAGGGTTAAAGATGCCAGCTATTGTGTTTTCTAAGCTAAAACCTGCAATATATACTGGTTTTCAAAGGTCACTTGCAGGAAAACCAGTTCAGTTGTCAAGTTCACCAAGTTCACTGCTTAGGCAGCTCAAATTTTTGTCTCTGAGTTCAGGGCTGAATCAGTGTTTGCCTTATTCGGATAAATCTATATCTGATAATAGGTGCATTCAAAACCCATTTTGTATTAGGACAAAAACAATGTCTGTGTCTGGTTCCAGGGCTGTTTTCGGAGATGTTTATGTGGATGAGTTAGTATCAAGTCGTGGAAATGGTTTGGACTTCCTGAAACCTGCTGGGGTTTATTTTGCTGATCGAAGTCATAGCAGTTGCCTTAAAGCTAGCCTGATTTTGAGAAAGCGAGAACAACACAACATTCGATTTGTTTGTGGGTACAATACTAGTGATGCAGTGCAGGGAAATACCAAATATAATCCTTCTTTCTGTCCTAGCATGAAAAGTATCCATACCTCATCTTTGCCATGTACCTCTTCTAGGGCAGCTCATGATGTGTCATTTGATGGCAGTTCTAAGGATGAACAGACCACACCTGTACAGTATGTCCTCTATCTTCTCTTTATTTTTTATGTCACCTTTTGCCCTTTTTTCCCTTTTTCTTTTTACCTTATTTCACTTTACAAATTATCTTTAAATAATGATATTCTCAAGTACTTTTAGGACTGAAGTTTCACATGTATTCATTTTCCACTGTTTGGTTCTTTGATGTTGATTTCAGAACTATTCCATGTAAGAAAAGCTTGAGACTAGTTTCAGGGTCATGTTATCTCCCGCATCCTGCTAAGAAAGAAACAGGGGGAGAGGATGCTCACTTCATTTGTTCCAATGAAGAAGCCATAGGAGTAGCTGATGGTGTTGGAGGCTGGGCAGAAGTTGGCGTTGATGCCGGAGAATTTGCCCGTGAACTTATGTCTAATTCAGTGGCAGCAATTCAAGATGAACCAATGGGTTCCATTGACCCAGCCAGAGTATTAGAGAAGGCCCATTCAAACACGAAATCACAGGGGTCCTCAACTGCCTGCATCATTGCCCTTACAGAGGAGGTTGGTCTTCTTTTATGTTAATAAAGATGAGCAGAGATAATCTTTAGATGAATTTTCCTTGATATATATTGGCGAGTTCACTAGGATTTGATACTTACAAGTAAAAAGAAAGCCTTAATTTCCCTTTCATTCATCTTCATGATTAACCAGATATCAGTTTTAATAATTTAATAGGTATGGTGAGCTCTACCTGACGTATTGCATGGGTTTATGCTTAATACTGTTGTTTATCTTCTGGAGCGTTCAACAGCTTAGTTTGACCAAAATAGTATATTAGGTTTATTTTTTAAATGAACTATTTCTGAGAATTGAAGTCATTGCCACATTATTGATTTTCTGTGAACTTAGCAGGAACATTTGACTGTATGAACAGATGAACCAAGTTGGGGTGCTGAATTTTTCCAGACTCCAATGCTTGTAGCTCGGCAGAAATTCTTGTCTTAATGATTCTTTTCTTATATTCATCTGTGTTTTAGGTAGATCAACTGCTATCATCTCATTCCATGTCTTTATACTGGATTATAACTTGTGTTTAATGGCCCTAAAGTATTTATCTAGCTTGATTTTAGGGAACGTTGAATGGCTTAATTGCTTGAGTCGAAAACGGTCAATAAGATTTTAGCAAGCAAATTATACATGTGGTTTCATGTACTCTACTTTTCTCAACAGGGAATACATGCAATAAATCTGGGGGACAGCGGTTTCATTGTGGTTAGGGATGGTTCCACCGTCTTCCATTCCCCAGTGCAGCAACATGGTTTCAATTTTACATATCAATTGGAGAGTGGTAATGGTGGTGATCTACCAAGCTCTGGTCAGGCTAGTTGATGATTGTACTCTTTCTTTTTTGACCATAAGCTAGTAACTTTGAATAGGACAGAAACTGCTGTTAGTGTTATTAGATTCTTTAGTACATGCTTATATCTTGTTGAAGCAGATATAATGTTATATTTTCTTTACCTACATGTTTGATGGAGTGATGATCTGGGATGTTGTCTTCTGTAGAAGATATGAAACTATCTCCACAACTTATATTTCCCTAATCTATCATTTTGGGCCAGGTTTTCAGAATTCCTGTTCTGCCAGGTGATGTGATTGTGGCTGGAACAGATGGGTTGTTCGATAACTTGTATAACAATGAGATCACTGCTGCTGTGGTTCATGGTCTAAGAGCTGGTTTCAGACCCCAATCGACGGCTAAGCAGATAGCAACTTTGGCTCTGGAACGAGCAGTGGATAAGAATCGGCAGACACCATTTGCCAAAGCTGCTCAAGATTCTGGGTTTCGGTACTATGGTGGCAAGCTTGACGACATCACTGTTGGTGTGTCCTACATTGCTAGCTCTTCCAATACTTGAATCTTGGTTGGTTTAGGACTAGCTTTTGTGATGTCTGTAGGATTTTTGGAAACCTGGTGAAACAAGCATTCATATTTCCATTTTATTTAATGTCCCTTGTGAAATACAAAACTTATCCTTGATTTTGTTAAATAAGTAATTTACTGGTTGCTCCGGGTAAAACATGCAGAGATTTTATCTTCCTCATTGATAATGCAAAAATGGTTGTTTCAAACTAGTCATTGGTGAAAGAAAACGAAAGAAGAGAGCTTACTTAAGATCAAGATCCAGAAAACATAGATTCAGAAAAAAGCTTTTCTACACCACATAACATGGAGTCCGGTTAACTAAACATAGGTTGCATTATTGGATAGTTCTTATTCACTACTACTGCAAACAAAACTAAGGACTGGGAAATCTATCCGGGATGCATGAAAATTAAATCTCCCACACTTTCTTAGTTCTTTGGCCTTGGCCTCGACCCTTGCCGCTACCTTCTTCTTTCTCTGCCCTCCTGTGTCTTTCCTTTTCTTGTCTCTTGGCCTCCTCTTGCTCCCTACTTGGTTCACCTTCACCTTGTTCTTCTTCATGTCGCCTCCTTTCTTCTTCCCTTGCCCTCCTTTGCCGCTCTTCTTCCTGTCTCCTGGCTTCCTCTTGCTCTCTCCTTGCTGCTGCTTCTCTTCTCTTCTTAGCTTCTTCCTCTTCCCTTCTGGCTTCTTCCTCTTCCCTTCTGGCTTCCTCCTCTTTCCTCCTGGCTTCTTCCTCTTCCTCTTCCTCTTCTCTTCTCCTTCGAGCCTCCTCTTCCTCTTCCCTCCTCTTTCGAGCCTCCTCTTCCTCCTTTTTCTTCCTGGCTTCTTCTTCCTCTTCCTTTCTCTTTTGAGCCTCCTCTTCCTTCTTTTTCTTCCTAGCTTCTTCCTCTTCCCTTCTTTCCCTTTCAATTTCCACCTCCATCAATCTTTCCTCTTCCTCGGCACATGATGTACAATCTAATATCATTGATTCTTTCTGAGGTTTTAGAAGGTGATCAATTGTTGTGTTGGACACATTGAATGACAAAGCCAATATCTCTTTATCCACGACCCCTAGAGCAGACCTCTTTCCCGCTAGAAATTGAGGATGGTTTCTCTTTGTTGATGTGCTGAATCCCATGAAAACAAACGAATCATTGTTGAACGACATCTGAGCCACTGGATGGAACCTCGGTACCGTGAATACATCGCCTTCCTCCAACCTATACCTCATGTTTCTGCACTCAGATTCATTGGCATTGCTCGAACAAACCACCCGAACCATCCCTTGACCCTGCAACACTATTGCTATCTCAGAAGCTCTTGGATTCCAATGTGGTGCCATCATCGAACCCTTCACAAAAATTCCCACCATTACAATGTATCTTCTTAAATTAGCCATTAATGCTACTATTTAAGAATAAAAAAACTAACCTTTGTCAAGTTCACCATGAAAACCCCAATGTTGGAATATTTCAACAAATGCAAGTCTTTCTTGTCTACAGTTACACTCCACCCGTTACAGTTTTCGAAATCATGATCTGCTTCAAAAACATTGTATGTTTTCGTTTTCTTCTTATGCTTGCCATTGATAGAGCGGAAGAAACCACCCCTGTTGCTCCCTAGAAAGGCTTTCAACAGTCGATCTTGCCATTCGCCCAACACCTTCTCCTTTTGCACTGCATGAATTATAGCAGGTGCTTTGCTTGATCTCATTATTTCATCTATCACATCCTCGGGTACCTTGAGACGCAAGTTTCCGTTATAGATACAGAATTATGCAGGAATATTTATAACGACTTTAAAATTGTACCTTAAAAGCTGCTTGGAGGACTCTGGAATCAAAGCCAAGAACCACATCAGTAATGCTCGAGTAAGCCCCAGTGGATGGCTCCTGAATTTGTTAAATTCACACACCAAAGTTCAAACATATGAAAATCAAGTACAGGAATTATAACAACAAGAAAGGGAAACAAATAGCATCATACATATGTGTCATCTTCTGTGTTAGTGAAGATCGCATAAATTCTAAGCCTCTCTCGTTCAGCCTCTAAGCTGCTTTGTACATAGAAAACTGACCCTTGATGCAGTCTATATACATCTCCTTTCCGAATGTCCACATTCCTTATATCATCATCATCCGTCCAACTCAAAGTTCCGCTCCCTAAACCAAAAAAAAAACATTTCAAACTCAGAATTTTACATTCATGCACCGTGTTCCGAATAGTGACAGATCCAAAAATTTAAGAATAAAGGTCCAAAATTTTAATTTTCTTTTCTTAAAAATAATGGGTATGCAATCCTCCACTGGTTCCGAATATACAAGCATTAAGTTTCAGGGTACTACCTGTATGGACAAAGAAAACCATGTCTGCATGTAGCACAACCGGAAGAAACACGGAGTTAGGCTCCAACGTAATGAACTGAAGATGGTAAGGGCCTTTTGTCCCATCATTGACAAAAGCAGCTGAGATTTCTCCATGTTCTGTCTGAGTTAAGAGTTTCCTGTGATGTTTAAGAACCAACTGACCCGCAGCCGAAGCATGTCGATGCGAGTGAGCTTCGACGCTGAGAAAGGTGGTACAGGTCGAAGCAAGGACGAAGAGAAGTGCGAGAAACGAGAATGGGAAAACCAGGGTTTGCTTGGGCATTGTTTCGAGATCTAAGCACGGATTTTGTGAGTAATGGAACAGATTGGTTTGGTCTATTCTATATAGAAGAACAAAGTGGGGTGATGGGGTTAGAGATTTACGTTACGTGGTGTTGTGGATCGACACGTTCATGGCCATGCAACAGGTGGCAGGAGCTTACGACAACTCTTCCCGCTTATTTACAAAAGTGGTTAAAGAGAGAGAGAGAGAGCATTGCATTTGCGTGGGGGATTAATTTGGAATTTTTCACCTTTATCTTAATTTCCGCAAATAACCGCGTTGTCCGATCATATGCGGATTGATATTTATCAATTAGTGAGTGGCTAGACTTTGAATTAGGACAAATTTAGATATCATTTGAAGGTCGGAATTGTAAATCCGTTTTCGTTGATTCTTTTTAGCGTCTCATTGGGCGTGAATTTCTAAAAATATTTTTAAATTAAAAAAAAATATAAACCAATATTAAACGGGTAAAAAATAAAAAATATATATATATATATATATATATATATATATATATATAGTAAAAATGATAGTTTCAAACTAACCATAAAACTTAGGATTTGTAGTTTTTTCAATTTTAATTTTATGTTTGAAATTAAATTATATTTTTACTCTTATTAATGCATAGACTCCACTCACAATTATGCATTTACATTTTATGTTAATAATTTAATACTAACATCCTTAAACAATAATTCATTACTTAATAATTTATTTTAATTACTTAAAAATAAATAAAAATTATTTAGAAAAAAATTATTAAAATTAATAATTTTATATTCACATGTTAAAAAGTATAAATAATATATTTTTTTATAGTAAAATATTTCATTTATAAAAAAATTATTAATGAGATATCTTAAAATATATTATTATTATAGTTTAAGTTGATATACTTTATATATCATAATATTAATAAATGTAAATATATTTTAAATTCTATATTTTAATTTTACAACATAATGTCTATAATGAACATTTTATCTTTTCAAATTATTTTTTTAAATTGCACTTTTAAACGACACTTTTAAAAATTCTTTTTTACCATATTTTTAAAAATCATTATTTAAAAGCCCACCAAACTAACCCTTAGTTTAACTCATTTTGAAGTTAAATTATTAAAATAATAATTTTTATTTTTTAAAATTAAATTAACACTAAAAATAGATGATTATTTCTATCATGTAAGATGAAAACAACTTACATGGTAACACCTTTATCCATGTGAGATGTCCTATGTGAAATATAAGTTATATTGATACTTCAGTGACCTACTATGTAAACAAAAACATTTCTTTGAGAAAAAATCTTTTCAAAAGGCACTGTCGCGTAAATGCACTTTTGTACTATATGGCATTAATAGGTGTTATGTTGAAAAAAAAAAATTGGGTGTTATTTTAATAAAAGAAATTAAAAACATATTATTTTAATAATTTTGAGTAATCTTAAATTTATTTTTAATATTATCTATAATTTGGATAAGAAAATTCCATGGCAGGTCAGGCTCTTTTTACATAACAAATATGCTAAATTTTGGAGTTGGATTATAGGCTCCAGATGTACTCCTTTTCACATGGTAAAAGGCTTCCAAAAGGAAATGCACACTTCAGTAGTTCTTAAGCCTGTGGTTTACACTGAACGAAGAAAATATTCAATGCATCCTTAAATCCAACTTGAATCAAAATCTGAGTAATGGCGAAATCAATTACACCAATATCACAATCTAAACTCTGGTTCAAGCACTTCCTTTAGAATATACATCAGTAAAGAAAACAAATGCTACGTTGGACAATTGTTCCCTTTTTACCAGCAGCAGGTTCCTAAAGAGAAAAAAGAAAACATAATCATTTGAAATGGACAAGTCATTGTATTAACATGCTAGCCTAGCTAGCCTATAAACCATGATGATATGGAGACTGCAACTTATATAGTAGTCGGTGCCTACTTGTTGATTATTATAATCACTTCCATCTGATGTACTCTCACTGCCACTTTCACCGCTGTTAATACCGCAGTTAGAATTAGAAAAGGAAAGCACAAAAATCTATGAATTTTTTTAGCCAAATACCGCAGTTAGAATTAGAAAAGGAAAGCACAATCAAAGCAGTAAACTGTTAGCTCTTTTCTACTGGTGGAGAGGAGGCAACTACGATATACCTGAGCCAACACTGTAGGTTTGGAAGGCTTGGAAGGTGTGCTCTCTTCTGTTCCCATAATCAATTTGGCAATCCTCTGCAAACTTATAATCAGATTTTCATATAGTAAATGTCTTTTATGGAGCATCTGAGAATCCAATTCCGAGTAAAGAAGTATATCAGAGATCTGAGATCACAAGAAATTATCAAACAATGACACAGTTAACCGGGGGGAACTATAACTAGCTATTGGGTACGTGCAGAATCATATTTTATGTATGAAAATATGATTCATGGAACGTAAATCTAAACAAATTCCAGTCAGCGTATTATCATGATTGGACTACAATGAGAAAGATAATGGAACTGAACTTGAAGCTCAGCAACAACCACTCACATGATCCAATAGAAGACAAAAATATTGTAAATACCCCATACCAGTTTCAAAACAACCTATATAAAGAAAGCTAGAATCTGAAATAAACTAGTTCCTTTTCAAGATGTTATCTTATCTTGGTCAGCAAATAAATCCAAAATAATACAAATTGGGTTATTTTTCTTTTGTCCTAACAAGTGAAGCACTCAGTGGGCAGCATCATGTTTGCAGTTAATTTATCAATATGCAAAACAAAGTAGAGTATCAATCGTTTCCATAATTGGACAACCTTGAAATGTTAAGTAATTCTTCAATTCTAGTAATTCGTTAATTAAATTCCTTCCAATTTGCTTGATAAAAAACATTCAACTTTTCCAACAATTCTACCTAAAACAAAAAGAATAGAAAGTGGTCGTGTCTGTTTTAAATAGACCAAAGCTAAAGCTAGTCAAGAATTGGCCATCTAATTCTTCATGCAGCTTTTAATAAAAACCTAACGTTGACCAGCAATTGTCTTATAGCTGGAACCATGGATTTACAACACCTCCTCTTCCCAAACATGTTCGCAAATAAATAAATATATTTAATTTAATGAATTATTACTAATACAACTGCGAAATGAAGAGCTAATTTTAATCTTTAAGCCGCCCTAAACTCACATGATTTCCCATATGCGTAACATAATCAAAGCTTCAGAGAAACAGTTTAAAGATAAAGTTGAGAGAAGAGCGAGCAAGTAGCACTCATCCAACTGATAAATAAAAGTTAAAACATGAAACAAGAGAAACTAAATTCTTAAAAATTAGCTTCTAAATGCTTTTAAAATTACATATGATTTTAAAAAGAAAGAAGAGACCTGCTTTCATGGCGTTGAAAAGAGGAGGACGAACAATTCAATTCAATTAAATTTTCTTCTAAAAGAAGAACTTGCAAGAGAGAATCCAACGGAGGGAATTGTGAAACTACGTCGTTTTGAGGCCTTTGACTTTTTTATTATCCTTCCACGTCGATGAGGTATTCTAACTTTCTGTTGGCTTTTGTGGTTTAATAATACTTGAAGGGGCCATTGCAGCAATTAACCCAAAACTAAGCCTACTTGATCAGTTGTTTCCGATTCAAGAAATATTAAAATAATTTAAAAATATTTCTTCTAACAAAAGTAAACATCTCCTCTATTTCAAAACACAAGACATACAGAAACTTTGATATTTATTTTTGGTTCTTTCTGAGGTATATAAAAGCATTGGTGTCCGATTGACACTTGTGTTTACCCAGAGATATGACCCAGTCATGTAGAATTTGCACTCAAAAGTCAAAACATGGTCAACTCTCCTACCTCATCAATCCGAAGCAATCATCGAAGCAGATGAAGTACGCTGTATGAGTCTTTGATTTCTTTCCCTTATCCAGGATCGGTACACTCTTCCTTCGCATGGCTTATGGAACGGTCGATTTCCACCATCTTAGGAGGCGTAGTCTCCGTCTCCGTCTCCGCAGAGCCACACTTGTGGAGCAAGTTTGTTAGATATGCAGTGATTTCCTTGAATTCCGGTCGGTTGTTGGGTCCTCTGCCCAACAGGACTGCAGGAGAGATGCAATCTCCGTTGGAAAACCTTCCACACTAGGCCTTTCGTTCTGAAGATTGCAAAAGAGATATAATTAGATATTTTTAAAAAGTAATGCCATAAGAATTACAAACTTCAGCTTACATTTGAGGCTGCATATGCCACGATTATGTTATCCCTTCCCTTGAATGGGGCTTTGTTCGTCAACAACTCCCAAAGAACAATGGAGTAGCTGTATACATCGACCTTGTGGTCATAGTGTTTCTTTGCTCCGATGGGGAGCGGATCTCTACTGTATAACTAATTCACATAAAATAAAAGGAGTCAGAAGTCACCGGAACTAGGAAGATAAGCCACTACTGGATATTGTTTTGAAGCATTATAGGAAAAGCACCTCGGGAGCCATCCACCGGTAAGTACCGGCCTCACAAGTCATTCCACTGATTACTTCCTCCCTTGCTAGCCCAAAGTCAGCCAGCTTGACATGCATTTTATCCTCGGAGAGAAGCAAATTACCTGCCATGATATTAAGGATGTGTAAGAAACAGATTATTTTCTGGCATAACATTTCAAGGCTTATTATCAGCTGCTTCTAAAATCCTTGAGCATTTTCATGCTTCACATGAAAAAGTGAAAACTTTCAGTTTCAGCACAATCTCTAATTCGTTTGGCCCCGACATATTATTGTCAGTCACTTACCATCTCTGTTCGGGAAAACAATGAATGTTTGCTATATCTTATGTCTTAGTCACAACAACCAAGCAAAAGAATGAGCATACCACTAACTGTTCACCAAATTGAATCATCTAGAATATTGAGATTAAAAGAGAATGAATTACTCGGCTTCAGATCACGATGAATAATGCCATTGGCATGCAAGTATTCCATAGCTCGGGAAATATCCAATGCCAGATGTAACGA